AAATAATTGCCAAAAACGCCGAAAACTCAATATTTAAGGAGTTATGGCCATTTTAAAGTATTCAATAATTCATGCTTATAAAAGTGATCACAAATAATAGCTAAAAACGCCGAAAACTCAATATTTAAGGAGTTATGGCCATTTTAAAGTATTCAATAATTCATACCTAAACAAGTAAGCAAAGGCTATAGTCGTGCGGGGCCGACCATGTGATACCCTACAACACTATAATATGTTAGAAGCCCCCTTATGTCCAAATCCATTTTGGCAGATTTCGCTTTTGAAATTATGTCACGGAGCACTGCCCAGATATTACTAGCATTTTGGCCAGGGACATTTAACCAATATTTACGAACTTCGTCGTGCTGTTAGTTGTAGTGGTCCATTTTATAGATAAATATAATCCAATGGCCATACATAATGCTAGACTTCTTCACCGTCCCTAACATTCTTCTCAGGCGTGTCGATTGGCTTCAATTGTGTGATTAGGAAATTTTCGCTGTTTTTGAATATTGTGCGATCATCTCCAAAAGCAAGAGGTCCCTCTGTATTTTCAAATTTAGACTCATCTATATGATTTGCTTGTCTAGGATATTTGGCTATATTCGTCAACGAAATCAGCAAAAAAAAGGCAGAAGTTCGCATTTTGTGTATTTCGGCTATCACCTGTAAGTAATGTTGGTATTTTTCAGACAAAAGTAGTGGTCCATTCCACCCGCTGTCCTTAACTCTAACTTCATGCGAGATTTCGTGTCCATTAGTTTCTATTTGTGACCTTTATAACGGCTGCAAAATCAGGAACATTTTAGTTGTTGGTCCATTTCAACCCCTAAATATATTGCGGACATCTTTGAAAACAATAGGCCTAGCCCTTCTGAGCCTAACCCTACCCTTTTCGTGAGGATCGGACGATAATTGCAATCTGTATATAATATCCCAAACCTGTGTTGTAAGGTGGAAAAATATTACAAAATGTATACCTTAATATTATAAGTCAAATGGAAAAAATCGCATGCGATAAAAAATATGAAAAAATAAAAAAAATGTCACAAAATACTACAAAATCTATATTAACATCATTTTTGACCTATTTTTATGCGATTTTTAGATTTAATACTTTTATGTTAAGAGCGCATTCTGAATTGGCAAACTTTGTCAAAATCGGTCCAGCCATTCTTGAGATATAAGCATTCTATCTAACATTCCTTCCCTTTGTATGTACATATTGTGTATATTTCGCTATATATATCCGATATATTTACTATCGGTATCTACGTAACTGTCACAATTGACCTGTTCGCCTATTTATGATTTCGCCGGGACTAAAAATATTGGCGGTTTAATGGAAATTTGACTTTTATTCAACACAAACGTATAGTATTTTTCACCCACTTAATATTACCCGATGACCATCAAAATTGGAAGGCTTCTGCCCAGCCCGTAGCTCTAGCCCCATGCTAATTTACGCGTCGATTGGTCCATAATTGCGACCTGCAGAGCAACTGCAAAATCAAGAAATTTTTCAGTTTTTGGTCCATTTCGACCCCTAAATATTATGCGATCATCACCAAAAGAAATAGGGTTCTATTCTGACCTTAACCCCACCTCCATTCTAAATTTCGTGAAGATCGGGCCATAATTGCGACCTGTAGAGTGATTACAAATTAACATGGACAGACGGACAGACGGACAGACGGACGGACGGACATACATAGCTAGATCGACTCAGCTCGGCGAGCTAGGAAGATCAATATATACTTTCCTATGTGGGAAACCAATATTTCGTGGTGTTACATAATTTTTGGCCCAATCAAACTTATAATACCCCCAACACATAGTGTTGTAGGGTATAAAAAGTGATCACAAATAATTGCCAAAAACGCCGAAAACTCAATATTTAAGGAGTTATGGCCATTTTAAAGTATTCAATATTTCATGCCTAAAAAAGTGATCACAAATAATAGCTAAGAACGCCGAAACGTCAATATTTAAGGAGTTATGGCCATTTTAAAGTATTCAATAATTCATGCCTTAAAAAGTGATCCCAAATAATAGCTAAAAACGGCGAAAACTCAATATTTAAGGAGTTATTGCCATTTTAAAGTATTCAATAATTCATGCCTTAAAAAAGTGATCACAAATAATAGCTTAAAACGCCGAAACCTCAATATTTAAGGAGTTATGGCCATTTTAAGGTATTCAATAATTCATGCCTAAAAAGTGATCACAAATAATAGCTAAAAACGCCGAAAACTCAATATTGGAAGAGTTATGGTCATTTTAAAGTATTCAATAATTCATGCTTATAAAAGTGATCACAAATAATAGCTAAAAACGCCGAAAACTCAATATTTAGGAGTTATGGCCATTTTAAAGTATTCAATATTTCATGCCTAAAAAAGTGATCACGAAAAATAGCTAAAAACGCCGAAAACTCAATATTTAAGGAGTTATGGCCATTTTAAAGTATTCAATAGTTCATGCTTATAAAAGTGATCACAAATAATAGCTAAAAACGCCGAAAACTCAATATTTAAGGAGTTATGGCCATTTTAAAGTATTCAATAATTCATGCCTAAAAAAGTGATCACAAATAAGAGCTAAAAACGCCGAAAACTCAATATTTAAGGAGTTATGGCCATTTTAAAGTATTCAATAATTCATGCTTATAAAAGTGATCACAAATAATAGCTAAAAACGCCGAAAACTCAATATTTAAGGAGTTATGGCCATTTTAAGGTATTCAATAATTCAGGCTAATAAAAGTGATCACACATTAGAGTTAAAAACGCCGAAAACTCAATATTTAGGGAGTTTTGGTCATTCAATAATTCAAAAACCTATTATACTGGTGATGATTACTATATAGCATTTGATTTTCCAAAAATAGAACTATTCAAGCAAAAGTTTGTAAGGAAAAATTAATTACCATGAGCGAGAACTTGAAATATATCAATCCGCCGATCTATTTTGAGAACACTTAAGTATAAACCTATATAGAGTTCTGTATGGATCTACTGTTTTTTATGCCCTCCAAGATAGAATGTCATATCATTTGTAAAACCTTGAAGTATACATTTTGGAACCCACAAAGTAAATATATTTTTGATCTCGATAAATTCGATATAGATTTAGTGATGTCCGTCTGTATATCTTCCCTTTGTGGAAATCACTCTAATTTCAGAACGAAATGAAGTAGGTTGATTAAAATTTACTAATATCTGTTTAAGGTTTGTAGGATATTTTGTATTGAAAATGGGCTACATAGGTTCACATATTGTTTTAGGCCCCATATAACTGTACAAGTAAATTTAAATTTTTTTAAGTGTTTCCGAAACAGTTCATGCGCAGTACTTAGAAAAAATCCTTACAGAGGAGTGTGCATATAGGTCCAAATTAGGAGTATGTGTTGTTGGTATGTAGGACACATCCTTGCAGAGAACTATACATATAGGTCCGAATTTTGGCATAGTCCCAATTTAAGTCTTATTTTGATTATTTGTGTCACAGTTTTCACCGGAATTGTTTAAAATTTCGTATTTAAAGTTCGTAATGAGTACTATTACTTCGCATAGCCCCCATTTATAGGTAACTCACATTATTCAGTATTTTAATGATATTAGCCACAGAATTATCTCAACCTTAGTATTTTCAGTTCCAAATATGCGCACTTTCTCTGGTAGATAATTTGCCGTACTCCAAATTTTCAGTATTTTGATAATTTGTGTTTGCGCAGTGGGCACTATATCCTATGACAGAAAGTTGCCCCTACAAATTCAAGTCTTCGTGTAGCCCCAAACTACATTTTAAACAGATTTATTTTTAACTTGGTGTTTGGTAATGAGATTTTTTCCTTTGCTTACTTACTTACTTATTACAGGGTGAGATGAAAAAACGGCAACCAACTTCAGACTGCTGTCATTTCTAAGCAACTTGTTCGAAAGATGTTAAAAATAATCCAGTGACAGCTCATTATATTATTTACATGCGTAAACAAACATATTGGTGAGAAATTTCCAGAAAAAAAAGTTATTCGTGATGGAATTCAAGCGTGATAGTGAGATATCTTTATATTTGGCTGGAAAACCACAAGTGGCTATTGTTAGAGCACTCCAGCATTTAAATATGAATAATTCTTTTGTGTGTCGTACCATGGTAGCGTAGCCCGACGTCAAGGAAGTGGACGGAAGAAAACAGCAACATCCACAAAAATGGTTCGAAAAAAAATGGCTCGTGAGCTGAACATATCGCAATACTCCATTCGGCATATATTGAAAAATGAGCTCGGGTTAAAGCCATTGATGTTCCAAAAAGTGCAAGAACTTACACCACAACAGAAAGAAAATAGACTCAAATAGAAAAAGACCGTGGCATCAGAATAAATGCCGAATAGTATCGCGAAAATATTCTGGAGGGTGTTTTAAAGCCTTGAGCTCGCAAACATTTTGGCCGCAGACCTTGGACATTCCAACAGGACTCAGCACGCACCGCCCAAGAATGGATACAAAATCAGGTTCCTCGCTTCATTTCCAGCGCATAATAGACACCAAAATCTCCGGATAACAATCCGTTGGACTATTGTGTCTGGAGTATTTTGGATAGCAAAAATACCAAAGTGTCGATCACCTCAAGAGAGCGCTTCGCCTGGAATGGGCCAAAATACCGCAGAGCAACATTCGAGTAGCGTGTGACGGTTCCATTGGCCGTTTGGAGGCCATAATTCGTGCTAAAGTTTAAAAATTTTAACAAATCTTAACTTATTCTAAAATGTTATGCTATTTCCGACATTTTTTGCTTTCATTCAATAAAATTAAAAAATTGTAAAAATTATGGCGTTTGACTTTGTTGGAGTTTTTCATCTCACCCTGTATTTGTTTATTTTTATTTGTACTCCTTTGTAGCTCCTTTGCCTTGTAAATATTAAGAAATTAATCATTTTTTATTTAGGTTTTAAAAGTTAAGAATTTTTTATTTAATTATCTTTCAGAACAAAACACTTTTTACAACAAAACTGGAGCGGCAGTGTATTTAAGGGGAGCAACTGGGGCAGCGGCAACTGGAGCTACGGCGGCAGCTACAGGAGCGGCAGCATAAGTGGCTGGGACAACAGCGGCATTATAGTTTTGTTTTAAATCGACACGGCTGCTGGCATAGGCGGCATCCAAATGAGCATTGGCATAGGCCAAAGGAGCAGCAACGGCAGCAGGGGCAGTGTAGGCCAATGGGGCGGTGTACTTGAGGGGAGCAACTGGAGCAGCAACAGGGGCAACGGCGGCAGCAGCTACAGGAGCGGCAGCATATGTGGCTGGGACAACAGCGGCATTGTAGTTTTGCTTCACATCCACACGGCTGCTGGCATAGGCGGCATCCAAATGGGCATTAGCATAGGCCAAAGGAGCAGCAACGGCAGCGGGAGCGGTGTAGGACAATGGAGCAGCATAGGCAGCACCGGTGTAGGCGGCAGCATAAGGAGCAGCATAGGCAGCAGTCAAGGGGGCATATGGACTGGCATAGGCGGCAGCAACGGGAGCTGTGTAAGCCAAAGGAGCAACAACGCCGGGTTTAGCAGCAGCGCAGACTACCAAAGCGCACAAGACAATGAGCTAAATAAAAATAATTAATAGGTATTTTCCTTGAGGCTATCAATTTCTTTACTTACGAATTTGGCCATTTTTTTCTGTTTGGTGAAAGAAGTGTTTTGTATCGATTGATAATTCAAAACTGAATACATTTTCAAAGCATCGCTTCACTTTTATATACAATATTTCAACCTCTCTGAACATTTGCTGTACATTATGTGGTTACTAATTTGAAACGGAAGCGTGCATGTTTTATGAAATTCGCTTTATTTTATTCACAAGGTATTGGAAGTACAGTTAAGTAGTGTGGTTGTTATGCAAAAGGCGCCCTAATTCAAAGGTCAGATGGGCAGAGGTGCAAAGAAATGGATTAGCATGGAGTGTTTCGTACCGAAAATTAATCTACAGACATTTACATTAAATATTACTTAGGTTGTAAAAAAACACGCAGCTTTAATAAGTATAAATTGTATTTTTAGATTTTAAAATTTTAATATTATGCTGCAGAAGGTTCCAACAAATAATTTAAATTGAAACAATGTTTAAATACGACCTTTAGAATTTTAATGATCCACGCCATTGACCATTGCATAAAACTGTTGTAATATGACATTTGCATTACCAAGACTTTAATTAAATTACATACGCACACCCTCACAATTGGCACTTCATGATCACCAGACATTGGTCAAAAGTTAATTTTCAAATCGTAACACGTTCGATACTTGAAATGTTTCAACAATCAACGTTGGAAATGGTATAAAAAGCTTCACAGCTGCAGAACAAAATACAGTTCTTCATCAAACGAACAACAAACCAAAACAAAATCCTAAAATGGCCAAATTTGTAAGTAAAAAAAATAATATATATATTTTTATTTTCTATTCTAAAATGTTTTACTGAATTCTAATGCAGATGATTGTCTTGTGCGCCTTGGTTGCCTGTGCCGCTGCCAAACCCGGTGTAGTTGCTCCTTTGGCTTACACAGCTCCTGTTGCTGCCGCATATGCCACTCCCTATGCCGCTGCCTACAGCGCACCCTTGACTGCTGCCTACGCAGCTCCCTATGCTGCCGCATACACCGCTGCTGCCTACACTGCTCCCGTTGCCTATACCGCTCCTGCTGCCGTTGCTGCTCCTTTGGCCTATGCTAATGCCCATTTGGATGCCGCCTATGCCAGCAGCCGTGTCGATGTAAAGCAAAACTATAATGCCGCTGTTGTTCCAGCCACTTATGCTGCCGCTCCTGTAGCTGCTGCCGCCGTTGCCCCTGTTGCTGCTCCAGTTGCTCCTCTCAAGTACACCGCTCCATTGGCCTACACCGGCCCAGCTGCTGCCGTCGCTGCTCCTTTGGCTTATGCTAATGCTCATTTGGATGCCGCCTATGCCAGCAGCCGCGTCGATGTTAAACAAAACTACAATGCCGCTGTTGTTCCAGCCACTTATGCCGCCGCTCCTGTTGCTGCTGCTGTAGCCCCAGTTGCTGCTGCCCCAGTTGCACCCCTTAAATACACCGCTGCCCCAGTTTTGTTGTAAATAGTGAAATCCTTAAAATCCTGCGAGATAATAAATCTGTGATCACCCATACACACTAATACATAAATATTTTTTTATTTTTTTTAATAGGGATACCGGTCTTTACACATCCTAAACTCTCTATACACGTTCCATAATTCTTTTTTTATACCCTACACCACAAGGTGGTCAGGGTATTAGGTATTTGTACATTTGTTTGTAACAGGCAACAGGAAAAGAGATACACCCATAGTTCCTTCTGATGATCTGCATAGAATCACATTCTGAGTCGATTTATGCATGTCCGTATGTCTGTCCGTCCATCTGTCCATGTATTTTTGTAAACAAAGTACAGTTCGCATTTATTGCCCGATCCAGACGAAATTTTGCACAGATCATTTGTTTGGCCCAAGGACGTACCCTATTGAAATTGGAGATAATCGGTAATCTTCGTCCGATATCTTCGTCGATATGTCGATAATCTTCGTCCGATTTGCCTTTTATTTTGCACCAAACGTGTAATATCAGAATAGTATGGGATTTTGCACACACAACTAAATTAGGCCTGCAAATAAGTATGCCAAATTTAATCGAAATCGGTTCAGATATAGCTATAGCTCCCATATATATTGTTCATCCGATTTGTTATTTTTGTCCCCAGCAGCCGTAATATACACTCCATAACAACGATATTCAGGGAAATATATCAAATGCAGCTCAGAAATATCTTTGCCAAATTTTATCGAGATCGGTTCAGATTTGGATATAGCTCCCATTTACATCTTTATCCGATTTCAAAATAATTGTTCACCTAATGGGCAATACAAGTCCGAATTTAAAAGATACAAATGCTGTTCACATATTTTTGTAGAATATGTGTAGGTTGTCTAATAGAAGTTTTTTAAAAGACCGGTTGATTTTTTTGTGGAATATCAGTAAAGCTTTTATAGAGGATCTGAAGATCTTTTTATAGATTGATTGATTGACCTTTAGATATTCTACGGGGAAATGGGCGATTCTGCTGTCATGTGGGAAGTAGAAGTTGGCTGTACTCAGGTTGCTTTCGGATGGGTTAGAGGTCATTGGTGGAAGCGAGTGAAACGCATAAAATTGGTTATAATGTTGAAGTTAGTTATGAGCTGGGAGCTTAATCTGGGTATTATAAGTGAGTGAGAAAGCTTGACCAAGGCAGCTTGCTATAAGCTAATATCCAAAAGAGTAAACATGATTAAACTACAAACAATTCAGCGGGAAATTGTTGTCAATAGTATAGGGAAATGAAATTCTGAAATTACTCAACATAAAAAATCCAGTAAGAAGGTCAAAAGTCGGACTTTATTTATATTTATTTATTTCATATTTAGTAGAGCTATTCATAACAAATAAACGTTTTGAGGGGAAATTTATGAGAATTAAATCATACCAACTACGATCTTTTTGAATGGGTATTATGGCTTCAAATTAAAGGAACTAATGTATGGGTTGTATATCCTCCTTTTAATTTCCACCAAAAATGACGGGGGCATTTGTGGCTCAACCGATATTCATTAAACTCCATCCTATTTGAACTGATAGTACGCTTTTTAGGAACAATAAACGTGAAATCAGATGAAGATATGTATGGGAGCTATATCCAAATCTAACATATTGCAACCCATTGTAACAGATGTCAAGTGTTTAGTTCTATGCGCTCACATTCCAGCAAATGGTAAAAAATTTAGTGCCTTGTAGTACACCAATATTTCGAATTGCCAAAAAAACTTTTACTTACTCCAACCCATATAAAAAATCCACCTCACAAAAAGTGGTCTTAACACTAAATTAAAGATTTCCATCGCTATTCGATTTCCAAATAGTAAATTAGTACCTTTTTAGTATCCATACCCAAACCCATCTCCAAATCTCAACACTAAAAAGTAGCAGTTACCCCAATGCTGTATTTCGTATTTCAAACACTATCCGTACACTATGTAGTACGGACTTTTAAATCACCAATCCATATCTAAACGCTAAGCACACACAGTGATCCCTATACCAAAATTTGTAATTCCAGCTCTATTTCAACACTCCACCCCAAATTTGATACCAATTATTACTTTCCGTACTGTTTTAGTGTATATTTCTAAAGCCATCTCCGAATTGTTATCCTAATGTCAAATTTCCAATTTAAAACGACTATCACCCCATACCAAATTTAGTACAATTTAGTATTCTTCATGTACTAGAATTCGCATTACTAAAACCATCTCTTTATTTTAGCTACAACAACAGTGACCACAATACCAACATTCTGTTAACCCAAAAAGTAGTACCGTTTGGTACAGTTCTTATATTTAGTATATAACTTAACTTAATTCTAATACCAAATATCAAGATTGTAGATCATCCGTTTTACATGATGCCAAATGGTTCAAAATTAGTTAAATCACTTATAGTTCGAATTTGGTGTTTAGTACCGTTTATACTTCGTATTTCCTTTGGTATATCTATACTATACTTCATCAACCACCCTCATATATATCAATATCAATAATTTAAATTTTTAGTACCTTTTAGCACCCGTACAGTTCGAGTTTCCAAAAACTCAGCCTTATGCCACGTCTAGACACCAACAAGTTAAAAAGCAGTAAGTTCGGCCGGGCCGAACTTTTAATACCCTCCACCATTTGCAACGAATTTGGAAATTTTCAAAAAATAAAATCCTTAAAAAATTCTGTTAAAATTTTAAAAATACCGAATATAGCCGTTATTTTGGGGTCTATAAGACGTGGACATACATAGGCATTGTTTGTCATAAGCCATTACCATATTCAAATTCGAAATTTGAAATAAACGGTGAATAATGTAGCTAAAATCATCAAAATATCGTATATAAGGAGGTGCCGTTAAATTGAAGCTGTGCGAAGACCTGGACCAGCATAGACAATTTCTGTCACAGGCTGTAGCATTTATTACGAACTTCAAATACCACATCTCAAACAATTTCGGTGGGTATTGTACCTAAAATCGTCAAAATACCGAATATAGGGAGGTACTGATATATGGGGCCTATACGAAGACCTGGACCCGCACAGACAATTTTCTGTCACAGACTGTAGTTCCCATAACGAACTTCAAATACCAATTTTAAAACAATTCCGGTGAATAATGTCGCTAAAATCATCAAAATACCGAATATAGGGAGGTACCGTTATATGGGGGCTATACGAAGACGTGGACCTGCACAGATAATTTTCCGTCTTAGGATGTAGTATCCATTTTGAACTTCAAATACCAAATTTGAAACTATTCCCGTGAATAATGTCGCTAAAATCATCAAAATACCGAATATCGGGTGGTACCGTTATATGGGGGCTATACGAAGACGTGGACCTGCACAGATAATTTCCGTCTTAGGATGTAGTATCCATTTTAAACTTTAAATACACATTTGAAACAATTCCCGTGAATAATGTCGCTAAAATCATCAAAATACCGATATAGGGAGGCACCGTTATATGGGGGCTATATGAAACGTGGACCTACATGGCCCATTTACGAACTTAACCTGCCTACTGGAAAAATAAACATGTGTGCAAAAATTTTAGCGGCAGTGTATTCAATTCATTCAACTGGGGCAGCGGCAACTGGAGCTACAGACGGCAGCTACAGAGCGGCAGCATAAGTGGCTGGGACAACAGCGGCATTATAGTTTTTGTTTTAAATCGACCACGGCTGCTGGCATAGGCGGCATCCAAATGAGCATTGGCATAGGCCAAAGGAGCAGCAACGGCAGCAGGGGCAGTGTAGGCCATGGGCGGTGTACTTGAGGGGAGCAACTGGAGCAGCACAGGGGCAACGGCGGCAGCAGCTACAGGAGCGGCAGCATATGTGGCTGGGACAACAGCGGCATTGTAGTTTTGCTTCACATCCACACGGCTGCTGGCATAGGCGGCATCCAAATGGGCATTAGCATAGGCCAAAGGAGCAGCAACGGCAGCGGGAGCGGTGTAGGACAATGGAGCAGCATAGGCAGCACCGGTGTAGGCGGCAGCATAAGGAGCAGCATAGGCAGCAGTCAAGGGGGCATATGGACTGGCATAGGCGGCAGCAACGGGAGCTGTGTAAGCCAAAGGAGCAACAACGCCGGGTTTAGCAGCAGCGCAGACTACCAAAGCGCACAAGACAATGAGCTAAATAAAAATAATTAATAGGTATTTTCCTTGAGGCTATCAATTTCTTTACTTACGAATTTGGCCATTTTTTTCTGTTTGGTGAAAGAAGTGTTTTGTATCGATTGATAATTCAAAACTGAATACATTTTCAAAGCATCGCTTCACTTTTATATACAATATTTCAACCTCTCTGAACATTTGCTGTACATTATGTGGTTACTAATTTGAAACGGAAGCGTGCATGTTTATGAAATTCGCTTTATTTTATTCACAAGGTATTGGAAGTACAGTTAAGTAGTGTGGTTGTTATGCAAAAGGCGCCTAATTCAAAGGTCAGATGGGCAGAGGTGCAAAGAAATGGATTAGCATGGAGTGTTTCGTACCGAAAATTAATCTACAGACATTTACATTAAATATACTTAGGTTGTAAAAAAACACGCAGCTTTAATAAGTATAAATTGTATTTTTAGATTTTAAAATTTTAATATTATGCTGCAGAAGGTTCCAACAAATAATTTAAATTGAAACAATGTTTAAATACGACCTTTAGAATTTTAATGATCCACGCCATTGACCATTGCATAAAACTGTTGTAATATGACATTTGCATTACCAAGACTTTAATTAAATTACATACGCACACCCTCACAATTGGCACTTCATGATCACCAGACATTGGTCAAAGTTAATTTTCAAATCGTAAACACGTTCGATACTTGAAATGTTTCAACAATCAACGTTGGAAATGGTATAAAAGCTTCACAGCTGCAGAACAAATACAGTTCTTCATCAAACGAACAACAAACCAAAACAAAATCCTAAAATGGCCAAATTTGTAAGTAAAAAAATAATATATATTTTTATTTTCTATTCTAAAATGTTTTACTGAATTCTAATGCAGATGATTGTCTTGTGCGCCTTGGTTGCCTGTGCCGCTGCCAAACCCGGTGTAGTTGCTCCTTTGGCTTACACAGCTCCTGTTGCTGCCGCATATGCCACTCCCTATGCCGCTGCCTACAGCGCACCCTTGACTGCTGCCTACGCAGCTCCCTATGCTGCCGCATACACCGCTGCTGCCTACACTGCTCCCGTTGCCTATACCGCTCCTGCTGCCGTTGCTGCTCCTTTGGCCTATGCTAATGCCCATTTGGATGCCGCCTATGCCAGCAGCCGTGTCGATGTAAAGCAAAACTATAATGCCGCTGTTGTTCCAGCCACTTATGCTGCCGCTCCTGTAGCTGCTGCCGCCGTTGCCCCTGTTGCTGCTCCAGTTGCTCCTCTCAAGTACACCGCTCCATTGGCCTACACCGGCCCAGCTGCTGCCGTCGCTGCTCCTTTGGCTTATGCTAATGCTCATTTGGATGCCGCCTATGCCAGCAGCCGCGTCGATGTTAAACAAAACTACAATGCCGCTGTTGTTCCAGCCACTTATGCCGCCGCTCCTGTTGCTGCTGCTGTAGCCCCAGTTGCTGCTGCCCCAGTTGCACCCCTTAAATACACCGCTGCCCCAGTTTTGTTGTAAATAGTGAAATCCTTAAAATCCTGCGAGATAATAAATCTGTGATCACCCATACACACTAATACATAAATATTTTTTTATTTTTTTTTAATAGGGATACCGGTCTTTACACATCCTAAACTCTCTATACACGTTCCATAATTCTTTTTTTATACCCTACACCACAAGGTGGTCAGGGTATTAGGTATTTGTACATTTGTTTGTAACAGGCAACAGGAAAAGAGATACACCCATAGTTCCTTCTGATGATCTGCATAGAATCACATTCTGAGTCGATTTATGCATGTCCGTATGTCTGTCCGTCCATCTGTCCATGTATTTTTGTAAACAAAGTACAGTTCGCATTTATTGCCCGATCCAGACGAAATTTTGCACAGATCATTTGTTTGGCCCAAGGACGTACCCTATTGAAATTGGAGATAATCGGTAATCTTCGTCCGATATCTTCGTCGATATGTCGATAATCTTCGTCCGATTTGCCTTTTATTTTGCACCAAACGTGTAATATCAGAATAGTATGGGATTTTGCACACACAACTAAATTAGGCCTGCAAATAAGTATGCCAAATTTAATCGAAATCGGTTCAGATATAGCTATAGCTCCCATATATATTGTTCATCCGATTTGTTATTTTTGTCCCCAGCAGCCGTAATATACACTCCATAACAACGATATTCAGGGAAATATATCAAATGCAGCTCAGAAATATCTTTGCCAAATTTTATCGAGATCGGTTCAGATTTGGATATAGCTCCCATTTACATCTTTATCCGATTTCAAAATAATTGTTCACCTAATGGGCAATACAAGTCCGAATTTAAAAGATACAAATGCTGTTCACATATTTTTGTAGAATATGTGTAGGTTGTCTAATAGAAGTTTTTTAAAAGACCGGTTGATTTTTTTGTGGAATATCAGTAAAGCTTTTATAGAGGATCTGAAGATCTTTTTATAGATTGATTGATTGACCTTTAGATATTCTACGGGGAAATGGGCGATTCTGCTGTCATGTGGGAAGTAGAAGTTGGCTGTACTCAGGTTGCTTTCGGATGGGTTAGAGGTCATTGGTGGAAGCGAGTGAAACGCATAAAATTGGTTATAATGTTGAAGTTAGTTATGAGCTGGGAGCTTAATCTGGGTATTATAAGTGAGTGAGAAAGCTTGACCAAGGCAGCTTGCTATAAGCTAATATCCAAAAGAGTAAACATGATTAAACTACAAACAATTCAGCGGGAAATTGTTGTCAATAGTATAGGGAAATGAAATTCTGAAATTACTCAACATAAAAAATCCAGTAAGAAGGTCAAAAGTCGGACTTTATTTATATTTATTTATTTCATATTTAGTAGAGCTATTCATAACAAATAAACGTTTTGAGGGGAAATTTATGAGAATTAAATCATACCAACTACGATCTTTTTTGAATGGGTATTATGGCTTCAAATTAAAGGAACTAATGTATGGGTTGTATATCCTCCTTTTAATTTCCACCAAAATGACGGGGGCATTTGTGGCTCAACCGATATTCATTAAACTCCATCCTATTTGAACTGATAGTACGCTTTTTAGGAACAATAAACGTGAAATCAGATGAAGATATGTATGGGAGCTATATCCAAATCTAACATATTGCAACCCATTGTAACAGATGTCAAGTGTTTAGTTCTATGCGCTCACATTCCAGCAAATGGTAAAAAATTTAGTGCCTTGTAGTACACCAATATTTCGAATTGCCAAAAAAACTTTTACTTACTCCAACCCATATAAAAAATCCACCTCACAAAAAGTGGTCTTAACACTAAATTAAAGATTTCCATCGCTATTCGATTTCCAAATAGTAAATTAGTACCTTTTTAGTATCCATACCCAAACCCATCTCCAAATCTCAACACTAAAAAGTAGCAGTTACCCCAATGCTGTATTTCGTATTTCAAACACTATCCGTACACTATGTAGTACGGACTTTTAATCACCAATCCATATCTAAACGCTAAGCACACACAGTGATCCCTATACCAAAATTTGTAATTCCAGCTCTATTTCAACACTCCACCCCAAATTTGATACCAATTATTACTTTCCGTACTGTTTTAGTGTAATTTCTAAAGCCATCTCCGAATTGTTATCCTAATGTCAAATTTCCAATTTAAACGACTATCACCCCATACCAAATTTAGTACAATTTAGTATTCTTCATGTACTAGAATTCGCATTACTAAAACCATCTCTTTATTTTAGCTACAACAACAGTGACCACAATACCAACATTCTGTTAACCCAAAAAGTAGTACCGTTTGGTACAGTTCTTATATTTAGTATATAACTTAACTTAATTCTAATACCAAATATCAAGATTGTAGATCAATCCGTTTTACATGATGCCAAATGGTTCAAAATTAGTTAAATCACTTATAGTTCGAATTTGGTGTTTAGTACCGTTTATACTTCGTATTTCCTTTGGTATATCTATACTATACTTCATCAACCACCCTCATATATATCAATATCAATAATTTAAATTTTTAGTACCTTTTAGCACCCGTACAGTTCGAGTTTCCAAAAACTCAGCCTTATGCCACGTCTAGACACCAACAAGTTAAAAAGCAGTAAGTTCGGCCGGGCCGAACTTTTAATACCCTCCACCATTTGCAACGAATTTGGAAATTTTCAAAAAATAAAATCCTTAAAAAATTCTGTTAAAATTTTAAAAATACCGAATATAGCCGTTATTTTGGGGTCTATAAGACGTGGACATACATAGGCATTGTTTGTCATAAGCCATTACCATATTCAAATTCGAAATTTGAAATAAACGGTGAATAATGTAGCTAAAATCATCAAAATATCGTATATAAGGAGGTGCCGTTAAATTGAAGCTGTGCGAAGACCTGGACCAGCATAGACAATTTTCTGTCACAGGCTGTAGCATTTATTACGAACTTCAAATACCACATCTCAAACAATTTCGGTGGGTATTGTACCTAAAATCGTCAAAATACCGAATATAGGGAGGTACTGATATATGGGGCCTATACGAAGACCTGGACCCGCACAGACAATTTTCTGTCACAGACTGTAGTTCCCATAACGAACTTCAAATACCAATTTTAAAACAATTCCGGTGAATAATGTCGCTAAAATCATCAAAATACCGAATATAGGGAGGTACCGTTATATGGGGGCTATACGAAGACGTGGACCTGCACAGATAATTTTCCGTCTTAGGATGTAGTATCCATTTTGAACTTCAAATACCAAATTTGAAACTATTCCCGTGAATAATGTCGCTAAAATCATCAAAATACCGAATATCGGGTGGTACCGTTATATGGGGGCTATACGAAGACGTGGACCTGCACAGATAATTTTCCGTCTTAGGATGTAGTATCCATTTTAAACTTTAAATACCACATTTGAAACAATTCCCGTGAATAATGTCGCTAAAATCATCAAAATACCGAATATAGGGAGGCACCGTTATATGGGGGCTATATGAAAACGTGGACCTACATGGCCCATTTACGAACTTAACCTGCCTACTGGAAAAATAAACATGTGTGCAAAATTTTAGCCATCTATCTCAATTCATTCGAAAGATAGCGTGATTACAACAGACAGACGGACAGACAGACAGACAGACGGACATCGCTAAATCGACTTAGAATTTTACGCTGATCAAGAATATATATACTTTGTTGGGTCTGATATGAGTATTTCGAGGAGTTACAAACGGAATGACAAAGTTAATATACCCTCCATAGTATGATGGAGGGTATAAAAATTGGCTCACATGTCATTGGATCAGCCGTTTGATCTAGAAATTTAATCAGAGTCAGTCACTCACTTACTGAAATATTTTCAAAGTACATGATTCGAAATGAATGTTCTACATTAGCTCATGATTGATTCATTCACATACATATAAGAAATATATAGTTATTATGCATATAAACCTGGACATTGACGTCACCTTACATATAAAGTTTGCAGAAACAATATCGGATTACTCATTCCGGAGATCATCAATGACCAACACAATGCAACTTATTTATATGTATATTGATATGCTATAACAATGTATGTCAGAGTTATTTAGGATAGGATGTCAAAACAAGAGCTTTTTTCGTTATCCCTTTTTTATTTTTCCAAATATCTGTTCCATTTTATTGGCAGATTTGATTACGGCAAATTTCGACCATTTTGAATGGCTATTTAAAAAACAAAAAAAAAACAGTGGATACTTCTCATCCATTACATCCATTTACAAGCATATCGTCAGAAACAAACAGTTATTATTTGAAGAGCAAATGTAAACAGATAAGTAAACAACTTAAAAAGTAACAGTCGGATGTATACCCTCAGTCTATGTCAGTTCATTAAAATATTGACTTACATTATGTTTATTCAAAATTTTGACCCTTGATACCGAAGGAGTGAACCAATATTATCCACTTCTCAATATCTTCTCACTTCTGAACTAACTTCTCAAAATCTGAACTAACTCTAACCTTGCACATTATGAGAGATATAAGTATTGTAAACAGTGAACCTTTGTGGGTGAGGTACAAGAAGGGGTAGGTCGATATATATTATTTTCACACCAGAACTTTCATTAGCAAAAAAAAAAATTACCCGTCGTGGGGAAGTACCAGAAGAAGTGGTCTGATATTCCATCTTCACACCAGCTCTTGCGTTAATAAAAATATTGGATTGTATGAAATTTAAAGATCGTCGGACTCTTATTTCACATTTTATAAGAGTTATAATAATTCCCAATTTTTACCCTTTGTGGGGAGGTTAAAGAGGTCCGATATATTCCGTCTTCACACCAGATCTTGTGTTGATAGAAACATCGGGATGTGTGAAATATGAAGGAAAATCTGATGCTTATTTCGCATATTTTGAGAGATATAATTATTCAAAAATTTTACCCATTGCACTATGTTTTTTTTTACGTTTATTTTGGCATAAACTCTAATTTTAAAGCTATTGAATTGAAATTTGGTTTGTATTCATTTTTTATGCTCCCAAGACTATCTACCAATTTTCATATGATTTGGGGCATTATTTCATATAGCTGCTATAAAGCCGATCTGGCCGATTTGCCCCAACGATTTTGTTTATGAAGCTATTGAAGTGAAATTTGGTTTGTATTCATTTTTTATTCTCCCATGGTGATTTGGGGAAACATACTGCTCATCCATTACTATAATTATACTTTTGCTAAGCCATTTTGAATGTTTAGTTTTAAATCGCTCTAATTTACGGTTGCACTTTGGCAAATGCTTTTTTATATAATTAACAAAATCTTTAACTTGTTTTGATTTCAAACGCATTTGGTCTTCATTTAAACTGATATTATTGATATTCTGTAACACATATTTCACAAGTGCATCTTCTGATTTTTGCTGCTCCAAATTTCAATAAGCGCTGCATGGGCAAACACATGTTTATCTGCAAAACACGTGTTGGTACAAAATAAAAAAAAGGCTAGTTACTAATTAATTAACACACTTTTGTTAATAACTTGGCATTTATAACCATTTGCAATGCTTTGCCATTCACAAGTTACACTTCACGGAACACAACTACAATTTATAGATTTTATATAAAGTTATACATAAATAAAACATTTCACAGTATTACAACAACAGACAATTATGACAAAAACGGCATCTCGTCTTAATTTTACATACCTGCACTAACGTTTTCCATAATTACACATTTTAATTTTTTTCAATTTCGTTAAATCACAAGCACTTGAACTGAGCTGATCTTTACCACCAGTTGTAGCAAAACAAAGTGACTTTCAAATAGCTGACTTTAAAAGCTCGTCAGCAAAAAAGGGTTGTCACCCGCATTAATATTAAATATTTTTTTTCTAATATGGGTATCTACATTTAGGAAATCAGTTAAATTTAAAAATAGGAAACCAAAAAAATGACTTTATGCCAAAAAATCATACTTTTTACCCACAGTGCATTGTGGGAGATGTACCAGAAAGTGCAGATCGTTATATCCTACCTTTAAACCAGCCCTTGCGTTTATAAAAATATTGGATTATGTGAAATTTGAAGATTTGATGGAATGGTCCGATATATTCCGCAGACCAGATATTGTATTCGTCGAAGTATTGGTATATGCGAAATTTAAAGACAATCGGACTCTTATTTCATATTTTATAAGACTTTGAGGAGGGAGGTACCAGAAGTAGTGGACCGATATTGCCCGTCTCCGAACTCCGAAGTACCAAATTTGAGCCAAATCGGATACTCCTTGAAGAGTTATCGTGCGCACCAGCCAGCCTGACAGACGGACGGACATCCCTAAATTGATTCCAAATGTCCCAAAAACGATTTTGATCCAAAGAGACCTAGAGCCTAAAACCGTTATATCGATGGGCCACGTTTTTGCCGTATCAAATGATATATACCCTCTGTAACCATATAGCTGAGGGTATAACAAGATTTTTAATTTAATTTCTTGAATCCAATTTTCTACTCTTTGTCTTGTCCACTGCAGGTATTGAACTCGCAGCCTTATAATTTGCAGTTAACCGCACTACACCTAGGGCCACTGTTGTGAACTTGAATGATTGCTTAAAGGTCCTATAGCTATATCAACAATTTATGGTACGTTATTATTTTAGTTGTTCCTTCGTTTAGCGACGCCGAGTCTCGATCTCCCAACCTTCCTTCACGAATTGTATTATTGCAAAAAAAAAAATTCATTTCAACATTCCAAAAGACAACAAAATTTATTTACACTACCTTCCACGATCATCTTCAACATATGGGTTTAAACAAATTTACAACAAAGCAGCGGTATATTTAAGAGGAGCCACGGGAGCAGCAACTGGAGTAGCGACAGGAGCTACAGCAGCGGCAACGGGAGCTACTGGAGCAGCGGCATAAGTGGCTGGGACAACAGCGGCATTGTAGTTTTGCTTGACATCAACACGGCTGCTGGCGTAGGCGGCATCCAAATGAGCGTTAGCATAAGCCAAAGGAGCAGCAACGGCAGCGGGAGCGGTGTAGGCGACGGGAGCAGTATAGGCAGCGGTATAAGCAGTAGCATAAGGGGCAGCATAGGCAGCAGCATAAGGAGCGGCATAGGCGGCAGCAACTGGAGCGGCATAGGCGGCAGCAACTGGAGCAGCATAAGCAGCAGCAACTGGGGCAGTGTAGGCAGCAGCAGCAACGGGAGCACTGTAAGCCAAAGGAGCTACAATACCGGGTTTAGCAGCGGCACAGGCAACCAAAGCGCACAAGACAATGATCTGTAGGGGCATAATTAAATTAATTGTTTTAAATAAGGACAACAATTGGTTTTTTACACTTCAACACTTATTGCGGATACTTACGAATTTGGCCATTTTGGGATAGATGTTGATGCTCTCAAGTCTTTTGAAAACTGAATACTTTTTTCGCTATACGTCCGCTTGTTTTATAGGCAAAATGTAGAGTTGTGGGTGTTAAACTGTATCGTACGTTTTTCGACTTGGTAATTAGCTTTTGTTCGAATTTACTTCCTTTAGACAACATTCGCTCGACTATTTGGTAATTCAATTCGCATTCGAGAATGGTAGACTTGGTGTTCGTTGATGCACTTGATATTCTGTTAAAGTTGTGGTTTGTCTTCTTCCATGCACTCCAATGGTTATTGATGGAATTTTGGGAAATAAATAAATGAAAGGCCAACATTTTTTTCTGAGTGAATACTGAGATCAACAAAATATAAATAGAGCGGTTAAAATTAAAGTACAAATATGGTGTGTGTGTTGTTCGGATGAACCGATTTCATGGTAAAGTATACGGGTTTTATAATACATTTTGTGATCTATTTATGCAGAAGACTCAAATATCATCCTATTGTACTCTTCCTACAATCTTTACTTAAAAATCTTTGCTACCTTCTGATATTCTGATATATTGTTCTTGAAGTATTGCCAGTTCCCGTAGAATTTTTGTATAGAGCTTGCTTTTCACCAAAGTCATCACATCAAAAACTGAAAAGCCAAATGACCATTCCATTCACGGAAATGTAATCATGATATTGGTAGCGATCAGCAAATACTGCAAAGCTATCAGTTTAGTTTTAAAAATCATTACTCTCTGTAATAAAGAATAATATGAAGACAATCGCGGAATGCTCCGGTCTTCAGCGATATATAACAAGTAAGCAAAGGCTATAGTCGTGCGGGGCCGACCATGTTATACCCTACAACACTACAATATGTTAGAAGTCCCCTTACTACCAAACCTATTTTGGAAGATTTCGCTTTTGAAATTATGTCACGGAGCACTGCACAGATATTACCCTTAGCTTTTTGAACAGGGACATTTGCCCAATATTTACGCATTCCTTCGTGCTGCAAGTTGTTGAGGTCCATTTTATAGCTAGATATAATTCAGTTTTCATCCAAAATTCTAGATTTCTTCCCTGTCCTTAACTCTCTTCTCATGCAAATTTGTGTGATTAGGAAAATTTTTCTGTTTTTGGTTCAATTGAAGCCCTAAATATCTTGCGATGAAATACAAAAGTCCCCTCTATATCTCCAAATTTAGACTCATCTATATGATTTGCTAGTCTACGATATTTGGCAATATTCGTCAACGGAATAAGCATAAAAAACCCACAAGTTCGACTTTTGTGTATTTCGAATATCGTCTGTAGCTAATGCTGGTATTTTTTCACACAAAAGTAGTGGTCCATTCTACCCGCTGTCCTAAACTATAACTTCATGCGAGATTTCGTGTCCTTTGGTTTTTATTTGACCTTTAAAACAACTGCAAAATCAGGAAAATTTTTAGTTGTTGGTCCATTTTAACCCCCTAATATATTGCGGACATCTTTGAAAAGAATAGGCCTAGCCCTTCCGAGCTCAACCCTACCATTTTCGTGAGGATCGGACGATATTTGCAATACTTATATAATATCCTCAACCTGTGTTGTAAGGTGAACAAATATTACAAAATATTATAAGTCAAATTGAAAAAATTGCATGCGATAAAAAATATGAAAATATAAACAAATGTCACAAAATACTACAAAATCTAAATTAACATCATTATTGGCATATTTTTCTGCAATTTTTTTAGATTTTATACTTTTATGCCAAGAGGGCATTCCGAATTGACAAAATTTGTCAAAACCGGTCCAGCCATTCTTGATATATAAGCATTCTAGCTAACATCCCCTTCCTTTGTATACATACATTATATATATTTCGCTATATATATCCGATATATTTACTATCGGCATCTACGTAACGGTCAGAATTGACCTGTTCGTCTATTTGTGATTTCGCCGGGATTAAAAATATTCGCAGTTTAATGGAAAATTTGAGTTTTGTTTAACACAAATTTTATTGTATATTTTACCCACTAAATATTACCCGATGACCATCAAAATTGGATAGCTTCTGCCCAGCCCTAAGCTCTAGCCCCATGCTAACTTGCGCGTCGATTGGTCTTTAATTGCGACCTATAGAGCAACTGCAAAATCAGGAAATTTTTCTGTTTTGGTCCTTTTTAACCCCTAAATATTATGCGATCTTCTCCAAAAGACTTCTATTCTGGCTCTAGCCCCACCTCCATTCTAAATCTGTGCAGGTCCACATCTTTGTATAGCCCCCATGTACCGGCACCTCCCGGTATTCTGTATTTTGATGATTTTAGCGACATTATTCACCGAAATTGTTTCAAATTTGGTATTTGACAGCCTACAGCCTATGATAACAATTTTTATATGCCGATTCACGTCTTCGTATAGCCCCCATATAACGGTACCTCCCGATAGTCATTTTTTTTTTTTTCAAATTCCTTCGAAATGGTGGAGGGTATTAAAAGTTCGGCCCGGCCGAACTTAGCTGCTTTTTTACTTGTCAAATTTCGCATTTGAATATTGTAATGGCTTGTGACAAAAGTTGCCTATGCAGGTCCATGTCGTCGTATAGACCGTAAGATAATAACTACATTCGGTAGTTTTAAGATTTAAACGGAATTTTTAACTAATTTTATTTTTTTGAAAATTGCCAAATTTATTACAGCTTTTTTACTTGTTTTATATTCCTACTTAAAAATACAAGAAGTGCGACAAAGAACGATTGCAGTGAGAACTGCTAAGTTTTGAAAAAGTGTCGAAACAAAGAGGGATTTTTAAAAAATCCTACTTTAAGGGTGTGAAAATTACCAAGAGACATAACATTGACATCAGGCTATTGATAAGACCTAATTTTAATTTATTTTTAGATGGGATAAAGTGGGAATTTCTTTAAAAGAAGAAAATAGTACAACTTTGTTTTAGAGCAATCTGTGAGAGATATAACTTTAACGATGGAAAAAGGCTGGGTTGCTGGAAAGGTTACAGAAAACCCTAAAAAGTTCGAAAATGCAAAGTTTTTTTTGTAGAAACTGGTAAAACAATGTTATTGAAAGAGCCATATCTATGAAATTTTGCCTCCCAATGGTGGACAGCGACGGTCGACCGAAATTTGTCCATTGTACCGATACTTGTCCATATCAATATTTTTTTATTGCGATAGGGAGCAACACAATTCGCCACAGCCCAACTTAATTGACTTTTAAACTTTGAGCTTTATAAGACACATTTTTAAGCCAAATCAATTCAGTGCAACAATTCAATAATTATGAATAAGAAATATTGAATTTCGTCACAATGCACCTGCAATGAACATTCGCAAATATCAAGGCAAAACGAAGAGCATAAGCAATACACGCGCCTTTTTAATATGCCAACAAACCATTTCAATACAAATGTCAGTCACGCATTTTCAAAATATTTAACATTCTTTTAGGAATTTTGATAATTGGTATTTCCCTGCAAATTAACAAATTTGCATACCACTGCGTAACCGGGCGTTTAATATAAATAGCTCAATGCTAGCTGAGCTAAAATATCAAAACTATCTGTTCTAAAGCAGGAAAAAGATCTCAAAACCAAAACCAAAATGTTCAAATTCGTAAGTATTGATTTGGGAATTCAAAATAAAAAAGACCATTTTGTGTAAGAGTGATTATCCTTAATTATTTTTTTTTTCGTTTTAGGCCGTTGTTGTTTTCGCCCTCATTGCCTGTGCTGCTGCCAAGCCCGCTTGGGTTGCCCCAGCCGCTGTGGCCTACACCGCCCCCACCGCTGTTGTTGCTGCTGCTCCAGCTCCTGTTGTTGCCGCCGCCCCAGCTCCTTTTGTCACAGCCACCAGCAGCCAATATGTAGCCCGTAACTACAATGGCATTGCCACCGCTCCCGTTATTGCCCCCGTTGCTGCTCCCGTTGTTGCCAAGACCGTTGCTGCCCCAGTAGCTGCTGCATATGCTGCTCCAGTTGCTGCCGCCTACACCGCTCCAGTTGCCACCTATGCTGCTGCCGCTGCCCCCGTTTTCTTCTAAATATAAACAATATTTGGGATAGAAAATTTGAAATGGATTGAATAAAAATATGACGAAAGAACCAAATTTAAAAAGAACACACATGTTTTTATGTCCCGCTGGGTATCGATGGATAAGTGAGTTGCTGTTTAGGATATTTCGCAAGATAGACTTTTTCAAGTAATGAGATACATTGGCACAAAGTGTGCGGATGCGACTGCAAAACCGATGGTTTTAAGTTTGAGGCAAACGGAGAAAAATATAATAAAATATATAGACTTTTTGATGCAGTTGTATGACTTGAAACAATCTCTGTAAGATTTGTATAAACCAGTTGGAAAAGTCATGGGGTGATAAGGAAATTATTTTCAATAAAATTAAATTAATTGACAAATCATCTTGAGATCAACTAGGTATAGTATCAATCTAATTTCCAATAATTCGCATAAAACCTTTTCAAAAAAAAAAAAAAAAAAAAAAAAAAAAGCAAGTAAAACAAGTAAAAAAACTGTAAAGGCCGAACTTTGAATAGCCTCCACCATTTGGAACGAATTTGGAAATTCTCAAAAACAATAAAATTCGTTAAAAATTCTGTTAAAATCTTAAAAATGCCGAATGTAGCCGTTATATTAGGGTCTATACGACGACACGGACCTGCATAGGTAACATTGGTCATAAAACAATTTTCAAATGCGTAACTTAAGAAAAATCGGTAACAATGTAGCTAAAATCATCAAAATACCGAATATCGGGAGGCACCGTTATAGGGGGGCTATACGAAGACGTGTACCGGCAATGACAATTTTCTGTCTTATTTATTTACCAAATTTGAAACAATTCCGGTGAATGATGTCGCTAAAATCATCAAAATACCGAATATCAGGAGCTACCATTATAAGGGGGCTATAAGAAGCCGTGGACCTGCACAGAGAATCTCCCGTCATAAGCTGTAGCATCTATTACGAACATCAAATGCCAAATTTGACAACAATTTCGGCGAATTATGTCGCTAAAATCAATAAAGTACCGAATATCGGGGGGTACCGTTTATGGGGGTTATACGAAGACGTGGACCGGCACAGACAATTTTCTGTCTTAGACTGTAGTATCCTTTACGAACTTCAAATACCAAATTTGAAACAATTTCTGTGAATAATGTCGCTAAAATCATCAAAATGCCGAATATCGGGAGGTACCGTTATATGAGGGCTATACCAAAACGAGGACCTACATGGCTCATCTTGCTGCAGACATAACATACATTGGATAATGCTGTTAAACTTTTCAAAAAACCATGGCTGAGGCCGTTTTATGGGGGCCATACCAAAACGAGAACCTCCATAGACAATTTTATACTTCAAAAATTGTTATCTACCAAATTGTGTAAATTATCAAAATACCGAATATAATATTTTTATAGTTTTCACTTCGTGTTCAAAGATGTATCATGTCATTGAAAATGAACCAACATCGAATTCGAGTCACTTAAACCTGCCAGGGCATAAAAATATCATACACATATCTTTTAGTTAATTAATTTATTTTATTCGAGAAGTGAGTATCAGTCTTTGGTATACAATGAATGTTCAAAATCTACCACAAAGCGGGAGCAGCAGCGGCATAAGTCAATGGTGCGGAGTAGGCAAATGGTGTGGCGTAAGCAGCAGCGTAAGGGGTGCTGTAGGCGGCAGCTACTGGGGCAGCAAAGGTCTTAGCAACGAGGGGTGCGGCAAAGGTCTTGGCAACAACGGGAGCGGCGAATGTCTTGGCTACAACTGGGGCGGCAACGGGAGCAACAACAGGGGCAGCGAAAGTCTTGGCTACAACGGGAGCGGCGAAAGTTTTGGCTACAACTGGAGCGGCAACGGGAGCAACAATTGGAGCTGTGGCAATACCATTGTAGTTGCGAGCAATAACTTGGCTACTTGTGGCAGTAACGAATGGAGCTGGGGCAGCAGCCACAACAGCAGCTGGGGCAGTATAAGCCAAAGGAGCACCAATCAAACCAGGCTTGGCAGCAGCGCAGGCAATGACGGCAAAGATGACAGCGGCCTAAAAGAAAAACACACAAGTTAATATTTGCATGCCTTTAAACCTGCTTTGCTTTATATAAAACTTACGAATTTGAACATATTGAATAAAATTTGACTAAAGTCTGATTTTGTTGTTAACAAACGAGAGTTGATTCGATGTATAATAAAAATCACTTGAGTACTCTACTATTTATACCCACACATCGGGCGCCGAAATTCAAAATCAAAACAAACCATTCCCGACGTGACAAACTCTTGTTGTGATTGTTTGAATTTAGTTGCCGGCTTGGTATTGGTGGTAGTTCGTAGCCATTCCTGAATTACATTTAACGAATTGTTATGCCCGTTACGTGATTAGAGTTGACAGTTGTCGGAGGGAATTTTGAATGATTTACTTCGCAGTGGTATTTGACATTGACAATGAAAACTAAAACATTGAAAACCCCCCAAAATACAATTTTAGTTTGGACAATTCTATTATTGGCTATGACTCAAATCGCCATTTGAAAAATTTATCTAAGGTTAATAACTTCTTGAAAATTATGTATGTGACTAAAAAGTATTATATATTTAATCGTTTACACCGAACATGGGTAAATAATTTAATTATGCCAAACAGGTTTGAGTGCAACCAACAAATTTCATGACCTACACCAACAAATGCCACCTCAAACAATTGGTATAGGTCAGTTTGACAATGAACGGTTGTCACTATTTTCAAGTCGGGATAGTGGATTTCTGATGTTGAATGTGAAGCTTTCTTAAACGACGTTGGCACAAAAAATAAAAAATTCTTTCATAATGATGTATTCCTTAAGTAATCAAGGCATTAGGATAGAAATTACAGGCAATCTAAGTTAATCGCGTAAAAATATGTCAATAACAAGTTAAAAAGTATCGGTCGGTATTGCCGACAGATATATACCCTCAGCCTGTGTTCGATTATTTAAATATAATTTGACTAGTGTTACAATTATTCAAACGTTTTACCCTCTATGAAGCAGGTTCCGAAGGAATGGGCCAATATTGTCTATTTCGTAACGGACCCCAATATATGATATAAATATTCCGACGTTCCTGGTATGGATTATATCGACTAACTCCTTCACTATGTATGAGATATGTAATAATTTTTAGAAAATGTTAAAATGTGAGTGATGTACAAGATAGAGTCTACCGAAATAGTCCACTTTTATACTTCATCTGATACAAATAAAAAATATTGAGCGAAATATTTGGCAACAATAAAAGAAAGGATATTTATGTCCAATTTTATGCGAAATCATAAATTCCGATAGATTTCATATTCATATCAGGCTCTTGTTTAGAGAAATATTTGAGCATAGCAAGTAGTAAAGAATTGCTAAATTGATTCGAAAGTTATGACAGATAAAATTATTGAAAATTGTGACCCCAGAAGGGGTTGGCAGGTATATATTAACTTCACAACCGATCTTGTATGTGTGAAATTTGAGGAGAGTTGGATGTTTATTTCGCTTTATTTGGGCGTTCGTTTTTCAATATCTTGAACCCTATGTATGGGGGAGAAGTAATGGTTCGATCTATACCACCTTTATAACAGATCTTGTGTTGATAGAAATGTTGAGATGTGCCAAGTCTAAATGGAATCGGATGTTAATTTGGCGTTTTATTACTTTATGGGTATTCAAAATTTCGACACTTTGTGGGGGAGGTACCAGAAGGAGTGTGCCGATACGTTCCATTTTCGCACCAGACCTTGGACTAATAAAATTATTGGGATGTTTGAAATTTAAAGACTATCGGACTCTTACATCACATTTTATAAGAGTTTTAATTATCCAAAATTTTGACCCTTCGTGGGGGAGGTCCCTGATGGAGTGGACCGACATTGTCCATTTTCGCACATGACCTAACACTGATGAAAATATTAGGATTCGCAAAGTTCCGGCAAAATCGGTTTATCCTTTCTCTTTTTGTGCAAAAAATATTTTTTGAAAAGTTTGACCTTTTGTGGGGGAGGTACAAGAAGGAGTGGACCGATACATTCCATTTTCGCACCAGACCTTGGACCAATAAAGGTTTTGGGATGTGTGAAATTTGAAGACTATCGGACTCTTACATCACATTTTATAAGCCAGACAGACAGACAGACAGACGGACGGACGGACGGACGGACGGACATCGGTAGATCGACTCCAAATGTTCTGAAACGGATTTGGTCCAAAGAGACCTAGGGTCTAAAACCGTTATTTCGACTAGGCACGTTTTGACCGTATCAAATGATATATACCCTCTGTAGCCATATGGCTGAGGGTATAAAAAAGAGACTATTTTTTGTTCTTTTTTCAATCCTTGTCATATTTATACCCTACAGCACTATGTGTTGGGGGTATTATAAGTTTGATTGGGCCAAAAATTATGTAACACCACGAAATATTGATTTCCCACATAGGAAAGTATATATGGATCTTCCTATCTCGCCGAGCTGAGTCGATCTAGCTATGTATGTCCGTCCGTCCGTCTGTCCGTCTGTCCATGTTAATTTGTAATCACTCTACAGGTCGCAATTATGGCCCGATCTTTACGAAATTTAGAATGGAGGTGGAGCTAGGGTCAGAATAGAACCCTATTTCTTTTGGAGATGATCGCCAAATGTTTAGGGGTTGAAATGGACCAAATACTGAAAAAATGTCGGATTTTGCAGTAGCTATAAAGGTCGCAATTATAGACCAATCGACGCGGAATTTCGTATGTAGCTAGAGTAGGACGGGGAAGAAGCCTACCAATTTGGGTGGTCATCGGATAATATTTAGCGGGTAAAATAGACCATATATTTTGTGTTGAAAAAATTCAAAATTTTTCATTAAACCCCGAATATTTTTAATCTCGGCGAAATCACAAAGCCATGACAAGGTTACTTCTGACCTTTACATTGATGTTAACATCCAACAAAACGGATATATAGCAACATATGTGCGATATATACGTTTATTAAAGAAGATATGCTTGAAAAATCTCTTATATGTCGAAAACGGCTGAACTGATTTCGACAGTTCTCATTA